TTACCCACTGATTTCAAATATATATTTCACACAATTGAAGGTAATTACAACATGTGAACATAATTTGAATATATTTATATATCCAAATAACCGGTAACAGCAACATGAAATCCAAATATATGTTTTGCGTGTGTTTTTTTTATTAAGATTAGGATATCTACAAATAAGTGGCATAAAAATCTGACCAAATCTTAAATGATAAATGAATAATATTATCATCATCCTATAATAACGTGAGCATCCAATAATAACGCGAGTATTTAGGCGCTGAAAATCAGTAAAATGACTTCCAAAATTTTCGAATTGTATGGGCGGGATATTTTCATTTTTTTCGCCAAGAATTGTGTTAAATTTTAGGCGGGAATTGAAATCTTTTTTTTACTGATTTTCCACATGATTTTTTCAAAAAACTATCATTCCCTCTTTATATATTAATAGATCTCTCTTTTCTCGCAACATCGATCGCCCCTCAAATCTCATCCCTCGTCCTCGGCAAACAGAAGAAAATCCGTCGTCTTTCTCTCAAGATATCGCTACCGACATCTTCTTTTCTCTCGCAAGCAGTCGCCATCGCCATCTTCCCTGCTCGTTTTCCGGCGAGTACCCTCTGCTCGCAAGTTCTCTGCGCGCCGCCCGTCCTCGCCGCGAACCAGTCACCGAGGCTGCAACCACCGGCGGTCAGCCCTTGCCCGCGGACAACCTCCACCGCGAGTTCTCCTCTCGCAACCAATCGTCGTCAAATCCTCAGGCCCTCGCAATCTCCTCCTCGAGCCGCCAACCACCACGAGTCGCTCCCGTTGTTGCCCTCATCCTCAGCGGGTAGCCCTGCAACTCCGGGCTCCCCTCCGCAAACGACGAGCCTCACCACAGCGGCGTCCTTCATCCCCGTGAGCTGCTGTCCACGAATCGCTGCTCCTCCACGCAGGCCCCGTCTCTGCCGCCGGCAGCCGCTGCTGCTTTCCGTGAGTCCACCAGCGAGCCGAGCGCAGCCGTCGAGCTCTTTCGCCACCGTTCGCCGTCGAGCCTGTTCGAACCCTTTCGCGCTCGATTCCCGAGAACGGTATCAAGTCTCGACTTCTCGTTTAGATTTTACGTGAATAATGATATGATCGGATGTGCCTAGTGTGTTCGTTAAATTAATATATGTGTTATGATGCTATATGTTTATGGTTGCTCGTGATTGTATTGTCGTGATTTTATGTCGAACTCTCGTCGATTCGTGCAAATCGAACGAGAACTGAATATAATAGATGAATTTCTGTGGATTTAAGAACTTAGGATTATTTCGAACACAATGGCGCTGACCTTGTGTCGATTGGAGGTGTATAATTGCTGTTATGATTTTTCGAAGTTCATATTGGCTGTTTGGAATGAAAAATTCACTATAAATCGAATACTAGTCCGATTGCCTTGAAATTTTAGGTGCACCTGTTTTTGATGAATATGTAGCTGCTGTAAAATGTTCGTGATTTTTAAAGGTTCTTAGATATTTTTAAAAATTAATTTGATTTCTGTCCAGTTTCTTGTAAAATGCATAATTAATTGTGTAGTGCTCGTGTCTGGCCAATTTTCGAGTATGTCATGTCTCTGGTATATTTATGTGTCGTGTAAAAGTTTTAGAATTTTTGAACTAGGTTTGATAGGGTTAACAAATTATTTTGTGATTCTGCCCGAATTTGTTTTAATTATTATAAATTGTTCTGAATCTTAAAAATTCTGAAAATTTGTGGAGGTGCCGATTATGTGATTTTCAGCATGCTGTAAGAAATTTGGAATTTTTGGTGTTCAGTTGTGATCAGTTCTGATATAAGCGCGATATTTGGCTGAATGTTGTTTTAATTTTATAAATTGAGATACTTAGTGTTGAAGGCTGATGAATTTATGTGCTACTCTTCACATGCTGTAGTATTTTACATAAAAATTTCATAGCCTGAATCGTCCATTACCATGTACTTTTAATTTAAACTCGTTTTTGATAAAAAATTTGTTTGAATTTTATAAAATTATGCATAAGGAGTTTGAAGCTGAAATTTGGTGATCTTACTTAGATCGGGATGTAAAATTTATGTAAAAGTTTCAGAACCTAACTCATTGATTTGATATGCCTCCTAATTCAAGTGTGAATTTGAGAAATTATTTTTGTATGTTGAAATTTGTTAAGTGTTATTGACCAAAGGTGCCATGCGTTGATTTGTGGCTCGTTTGTGTATCTTTCACTTGCATTTATATGAACTTGAATATGTGGTTTGATCGAGTCTAAGTCCTAGTGTTCCCATGTCCACAGAACTTCACGAACCACTTGGTCGAACCGAGTTCGGCTAAGTCAATCTGTGAATTTTCTACATAGGTCTAGATTAAAGTGTGACTTTAGTATCTGGACTTAATGTAGGTGTCTAGAGGTGTTGAACCTCGCCTCGTCTCGAGATTTGCAATTTGAACTGTAGCTGCAATCAGGTGTAGCTGCAATCAGGTGGGTACATTTATGATGTATTCCATATTTATCGCACTCCTTATTTCGTGTAATGTTTTTTTTTTTAAATTATTGTATGCATGAGAACTCTAGTCTAAGTGTCCCGAACGATAGTGCCTTTGATGAATGCGAAAGAAGTGGAAGTCGCCTGCCCGTTGTATCCGGGAGGTGGACGCCCGAATCCGTGTAGAGCGGAGGGGATTGTCTGAATACTCGAATCCGTGTAGAGCGGAGGAGTGATTCAACTTCACTGTCTCCTGGAAAGGATCCCATGTACCGTTGTATCCGGGGGTGGGAAGGTTTCCAGTTACAGCCATGCCGTGGTATCCGGAAGGTTGTTGTATGTACATAGGAGGTTTGCGATAGGGCCGGGTTGGGGGTTTAGGCTATGTTTTCTATGCATACCGGTATTGATATTGTACACTGCGATTATTTGTTTGTAAAATTATTATGCGGAATAATCGTGCGATAATGGTGAGCTAGTTGGTTGCTCACCCCCATTGTTTCTGTTGTTGTCTCCACTTCCTTTCTTTAGGTTGAGCTGAGTTGGTGGCGGTGGCGTAAAGACGAGCGAGAGGATGGTCGTTGGTCAAATTATGTTATCGCTATTTTATGCTTCCGCCTGTTTATGATTTGCTGAACTGATACTTGACTTGATTTATTGTTCCCGCTTGGATTTGGATATTTTATTATGTGCTTATATCCCTGCTTTGATTTTGTATACTGATTATGTGTCATGCATGAACTTGTTACTTAATTATTTTGCTTTCATACTTTGGATTAATTCTTGATTTCGCTTTCGAATTATTTTTAAGTTTGGTTGAACCTTGTTTCATGCTAGACCTATTTGAATGTTTTGGGACTTATGAATTTAAGGGATAATTTTATATCGTTAGTCCAAGCATGTGTAGGTTCTTTTGTTTTATGGATGTGTTTATCTGATGTCATTAGCAAGTAGCGCCTGTTTCTCGCTAAATGTTTTTAATTTAAAATTAAAAAAAAAAAAAAAAAAAACTCTGATTTTTATTAATTAATTCGATAAATTCTTTAAAATGAAACGGGGCGTTACAATCATTATTGTGCGAAGATACAACGACCATTTTTTTCTGGTATGTCGTGTTCATTGAGGCCTCATCAAATGCACATAAAGACTGTTCCAATGTTTCATTACAAACCCAGTTTCATCACCAACAATAAGAAGCTCAATGCAAAAAATAAAAATGAAAAAAGAAGACGTAACCACATAGATGGACGAAACAAACCTCATTTGTGTTGTACATTGAGAAATTGATCCCACCAACACCAGCAAAATTGAAGATCTCTAATTCTGGCATTTCATCCTTCCTGGAACTGCTCACAAGTCAACATCATTTGCAACAAGCAACAAACATAACTGACACAAGGTAAGGAACATTGATTGTTTCAAGCTGGACAAAAAATTGTATAATTCACAAGAAATAAAAGTAGAATGAAAATAGAAAGCCATAGCAAACACAAATTGAGTTGTCCAGTACCCTAGATAATTGTATCAGCACTCATGCTCGACTGTCGGGTGAGGTCGACCCAAACGGGAGCCTCATGCACCAGTCCCCAAGAGACACTGGTTACAGTCAGGTCTCCATTCAACTACCCTTTGATACCACCATAACTAATTAATTAATTGCACACGTTGAAAAATATGATTTCAAAAAATAGTCTCAATGATGCAAGAACCCATAAAAGGG